GTCGGAAAATCCGAGGTTAGATTTCTGACTACCTTATAATGCATGAAGAACTAGGAGTTTCGGCACTGAGCAATTGAAATCAAGTTTAGTAATTGCATATCGTTACTTCAGTTCTAATGCTTCATTTGTTGAAGATTGATGGAGATATTCTAAAAACCCTATAGGCAGTATCTGACCAAGGTAGACAATATGCAATTATTTAGTAACAGGCTTTAGGGATCAATCATTATTTATCTCTTGGGAGGGGTCGGAGGATTTTAATTGGGCCACGATAAAATTTACCTGACCCTCCTCCCCTAATAAGGCCCTCTAATAATCTCATGATCACCCCTCCCTGGCAGATAATTAGCAGTCAATTTTCTATGCCCCCTTCCTTTTTTTACTTTGTGCAATGACTGAATACCCCCTCCCTTGCCCCTGAAAATCATGTGATCCCCCTAAAATTCTCCAACTCCTCCTAGAAGATCAATAATTAAGTTGAGATGTAAAGAAAAGACAAATTTATAATAGATAGCTATTGATTTTTTTACCTTTGATTTTAATTGGTTACAATTAGGTTGTAATGGTTGTTCCATCGTCTTTTGATAAAATCAAACCAAGTGAGAAGGTACCTCACAAGATTTACCAAGCACCTTATAAACCAGGCTTCTTAGAAGATACGGTAATACCCCTTGAACTGGAAGGAAAAATGATGGAGGTACTTTTCAAGATGAGCAAGATTCAGGAAACATTATGTGAAAGTGCACTAAACTCCACTGAAGTTCTCAAGGAATTGAAAAACTATGATCTTATCATCTATGATAGTGGAGCATTCTGTGCGGCATTAATTGGTGAACTCCTCAAGATTCAGCGCATTGAGTTGTTCCCTTACCCCCCTAACAGTCCAGATGCCTTTTATCACATGATACCCTCGCCAATTTCTTATGTTCCTCAACTTCCTACGGGATTTACTGATAAAATGACTTTCAAGGAGCGTTTGATGAATCTGGGATCATACATTGGCGAGAGACTGTTTCTGAGCATAGTCTATAACAGACCAATGAATGCTCTAAAAATGAGATACAACATTACGCCTGAAAGAAGCTTTGAGGAGGCTGTTGCTGATGTAGAACTACTTTTAATCATGGCAGATTTTGCACTGGAATACCCACAACCTCTGTTGCCAGGTGAGAACTCTTAAAACTTTACCATTTAACCCTTTAACTCCCAAGATCTGATTGTTAATTCTCCCCTCTACCTGCTGCACATTTCTTTGTTAATTAGTGATGAGAATAAGTTATCAGTAAATTAGTATGAAAGATCAAGATAACAACTTCTACCTGATAAGTTTGAGTGTTCTCATTATACCTACGTACAGGATATAATGTATGGATATTATTGGAAGGAAAAGTTACATGTTATTTGTTTGTGGGAGTTGAAGGGTTAAGGTTTGTTGCGTATTGTAATTCTCCCATTTGGCTGTAAGACACCTCCTTAAAAATCAGATGAGAGAATTTGGTGTTTCATCAAGATGTGACACTCAGTTATTAATTGTGAAGATCTTAAAAGGGTTCCCATGAGTGCTTGCTAATTGATCTTGAGTAAAAAAGAGTTAGGTTAATAACTGGAACCAGAACTCTATAACCTTTATTTCTGGCTCTCAAAAGATGATTGCGAACTAAGCTTTCTACAATATCTTTAACCGTAGCCAGAGGAGGTTATACTTTCCCAGAATAATTTTCAACCCCAATAAAAACTCAAGTATGGTCAAAAGTTGAAATATGATTGATAAGATCTTTATTAATTGAAGAGGAATCTTTGTTATATTTATTCAATAGGTCATGTTATGGTTGGACCACTAAATGTCAAAGATACTCAACCCCTCCCCCCTGATTTAGAAGAGTTTGTCAATAATTCAGGGGGTCATGGTTTTATTATTGTTTCCTTTGGTTCAATGGTGGCTTCAATCCTTCCAAGAGAGAAAGTGGATATGCTAGCTGATGCATTTGGAAAACTGAAACAAAAAGTTGTGTGGAGACTTAAAGGTATCTGCAGTTTTTAAAAGGAATTTTGAATTGTGCAGGGTCGTAGCCAGCATGACACAAGACAAGGCAATTACCTTGTCTTGATTTCAGCCCAAGATTGACTTTTCTGAAGAAAAATGCCACAGGAAATGCTTAAAAGAGCATTTCTGAGCCTTTAGATTTAAAAATTTTCTGGTGAGGGGGGGGGGGGGAGGGGGGGTGGCATGCCTGCAGACCCCCCCTTGGCAGCTTGTGCCTTTGGTGCTCAAAACTTGCCTCGTCTTGATCTGTTGTTTTGTTCTTGTTGCGTTGTTTACCAACTGAATATTTTATACAACGGCCATTTATTTGTTCTTTCTATCTTTCTATCCATCCTTCAGTTTGTCATCAGAGATAATCTGTTGGAGCATTGATCAATCTACTCTACTCAGTCGGTCATTGAATGCTCAATTAGTCAGTCAATCAGTCTTTGAGTCAGTTGGTCGGTCTTTTTGTCAGTTGTTCAGTTTGTCAGCTAGTCAGGCAGTCTGTCTGTTTGACAGTTGTTTAGTCTGTCATTTAGTTGGTAGGTAAGTCAGTCTGTCTGTCTGTTAGTCAGTCACTCAGAAAGTAAGTCAGTCACTCAGATATTTAGACAGATACTTGATCAGTAGAGTTGGTTAGTCAGTCTGTTAGATACCAAGAAACTTATTCGGAGAACTTGATGATTTACTTTGGTTAACACTTGTGATAGAATAGCACTCTGTCCAGTAGGAGTTGAAATACTCCTGATTAGAAAACAAACCCTCCCCTTGAATTGCTCACTTGTAAGATTAAATGCTGGTATGTCTTTAAAATGGTTGGCTTTTCTTTCTGGCAGGTTATATCCCATCCTCCCTTAAAGCAAACATCAAAGCAGTTCAATGGTTACCTCAGAATGATCTCTTAGCACACAAGGACATCAAAGCTTTTGTCTCCCATGTGGGACATAACAGTCTGTATGAGTCAGCATACCATGGGGTCCCTGTGGTAGCCTTTCCATTGGGTGGAGACCAGGATAGCAATGCTAAGAAAGCTGAACATTTTGGCCTTGGTTTAATTGTTGATCATAAAAACTGCAGTGCGCAACAACTGTTTGAAACAATTGAGAAAGTTGTAGGGGAACCACGGTATGTAGTATGCTATATTTGTCAAAAGTGGTTTAAAAAGAACTTGTTGCTGGCCAATTAGGCCTTGAAATAAGTTAATTGTATGAAATGATGCTAATAAGTGTGTGATTTGGGGGAATTACTTACATGTCCACATCCCTGAATGTGATCATTGCAGAATATTTTAAGTGTTAAATGTTTTTTCAAATTTATCAGGTAACCACTGTGTTTAGTTCTGAATCATGACTGCCCTAAAGAGCACTTTTTGGTTGGGTGTTGCAAAACCAAAATCAAGTTATCACAGTGGACAATCAGATTAAAGGAAAAAGTCAGGAGCAGTCAATGAGAACTTAAAGAGAAAAAACACGTAAACAGCTCTAAGAGGGGCAAAATGGCATTGACCAAGTTGCAGTTGGTTTTAGTTTTGAATCAGATTGGTTGAGAAAGTAGTGAAAGTTTTCCAGACCAATCTTACAGCAAAAAAGCAAACCAAATAATTCCAGATTACTCTCAACACTCGATTGAAATTTCTTTAGTCATAAGTCGAATAGCATGCACCTCTTATTAAGAAAGTGACTGTCACAGTGTTTGGGCTAAATGTGGCTTTGAATTGACTGTAAGGATTCATTGCTGCTGGTTAACATGAAAAAAGTGTCGTTATTTTATTAAAATCCTTTACATAGAAATTCAATTTTTCTTCAGATTTAAAACAAAAGCAATGCACATCTCTGGGCTTTTGAAGGATCATCCTTACACACCTCTACAAGAAACCTGCAACTGGATTGAGTATGTAGTCAGACATGGTGGAGCCAGACACCTCAGAGCTCAAGTGTTTGACATTCCTTGGTACCAGTACTACTTACTTGACGTCATAGCTTTCCTTGTTACTATAGTAACCTTAGTTGTCCTGGTGATAAGATTCATATGTAAGTGTTTGTGTAGAGTGTGCTGTAAAAAGGGAGACACCAAACCCAAGAAGGAGTAAAACTGTGCTCTATGTTGTGATGTTATGCGACGCTTCCTCTGAGTGTTAAGTGAAATTTCAACCCACTCATTTCAGCACGTAGCGTTTTTATACTGTATTATGACACTTTGGGACATAATCTTTAACAAATTAGTAATATTAGGTCATGTGATGATATGGAAGAAAAAATTAGATATGGTTTACTCCTTTAGTATCGCCAACTAGAATTTAGAATTTTTTTTCATGTATTTTAAGAATAGTTATAGTGTATGGTATTTATCAAATGATGTATTTATTTGTTGATGCATTAGAATTGACAATTGAGATGTACACCAAGTATTCAACTGAAAGTATTGTTATTAACCACAGAGCCTCAAAGGCAAAACTTGCTGTTGAAGTTCATGAATTATAAAAAGGCATTTGTCAGAAATTGAGCAATTTTTCAGTCAAATTCTGTGCACCTATGATTATTAGTTTTATCACAAGTCTGCAACATGCAGTGGAAGACCATATGCAGACACAGAGGTTACAAATTGAACTTCTTTGAGGCAGAATGATGAAAGATTGCTGCTCTGGTTCCTATCATATGACCTGTGAAGGCATAAATAGTACATGGATTATGTATGCTTACTTGCTACAGAACCTTGATCTCCTTCTGCACATGGCAAATAGTTTTGTGATTTGTCGAACTTCTTCTTTCCTGCAGCCTCTGGTAATCAAGTCTTTAAGTATTTACATGCAACAGCTAATATTTAAGTTGTTAGAGTGATCAAACACCAAATTTTTGTAACAAATTTTCAGGGAAATGTGTAGCAGCTAGAGGGGACAATTAACGATCAGATCTTGAGAGTTAAAGGGTGAATGAGATGAGTACAACTTGTCTAATTACCAACACACTTTCATTGATACAAGTACAAATCAAGTTTTTAATGATAATTTCAATCACACACAATTAAAATTTACAGCATTATGAACTAAAAATACAACTAGGCAATTGCTTAAACGATCCCAACACCATTTACACAATAATTAACCCACAGATATTATAAATATATATTTATAATAAATACAGGCATGAATAAGAATTGAATATTGACAAACTGGTGGTGACACTTCCCTTACTGTTTAATATCTAAGCTGTTTGTTAACCTTCAATCAAATCTTTAGAGCTTTTTCTAGCAACTATACAACTATTAACTGTGTAAAATACCATTAGCACTATTGAACTATCCACTAGTAACTATTAAAAGCCAATGTTATCTCTTGTTGAGATTACAAAAATTTGTAGGTCAACAAGACACTAATGACGCATTAAGCAAGAGTGTCACCTCTGACCTGTCAATTGAAAGTAAGAACTGGATAGAAGTCTTTTAAAACCTAACTTATTTATCAGCTATAAAAAAAACTACATCTACACAATACAGTAAACTATAAATTGAACAACTCGACTAAGCTTCTGAATATAAAAACTGTTTTCTGTTGCATCTCTTTATTCAAGACCAGTTCAAGAAGTACAACAGGTTTTTAGACCAGTGGATAACTCGCATTTGTGGCAATTCCACATTGGTTGTCTTTGTTTCTTGTCATCATAATGTACCCATCCATGCCCCACTTTTTCCCCCAGCTGCACAAGGAACAAAAATTCAGCAGATCTTTTAACACAATAATGTGAACTTAACCCTATAACCCCTAAGAGTGACTGACATCTAATTTCTCCTTACAATATCACCACTGAATCACTTATTGATGTCAAGAGAATAAGAAGATGATCACCGACTAAAGAAACTCCTGATTGATAGACAAATTCTTGTTGTCAGCACCTCAGTAATTGTACAGAGAACAGAATGGAGAATATGAATTTTGATGTTATGATGTAAAGGGTTAAGGTTTTTTTGACACCTGCTGCCACTCTACAATATCTATATCTTTTGTACATGATCAAGCATCTCAGAACCTTTTCCATTAGTGGCTGGTGAGAGATGACAAGGAGGCTGTGTCATAGGGCAACACCCATACATGAGAGCATGCTTGCAATCTAACCAGACTGCTGATAACTCAAGCTTTTATTGTGACACCTGATGTTCAAAAACTGTGAAACAACTTTGAACACCAGAAATGGCAGATTATAACACCAGATATTCCTCAGATTAGGCTGGGGACACTGTTATATTTCCATATGAATTGGTTACGGAAAAAGTTGAGTACCCCTTCAGGCCACACCCAAAATAAACCTACCTGTTCTTTACAAGCCAGTAGTCTTTCCCATCAGCAGTTGTTCCATACCCCACAGCCAGCACACCATGATCCAGCTCAGTACTACTGCAACTAGGCTCATTATAAACGCCCTCCTTGTAGAATTGGAAAGACAAGTGTCCAGCATCAATTGCTACAGAGATTGGTCCAACTGTGGCAACAGCAACCTTCAAGGCATCCTCATCTCCATGTTTAACGTCAACATATCCAGTGTCATCGGCACCAACTGATGATGCATTAAATTTGCACTTCTCATCCTGGGGAGCAAAGGACAAAGTGAGTACACACAGCACATGTTCATATACACAGAGAGATATACAGTTACCCCTCACCTTTCCAAACTGAACCAGATCTCTGAGGTCAGCGATTGAACCAGAGAATAACACATGATATTTCTCATTAACCCGTTACACCCTTACATCAGTAGGCATATTCTCCATACTGTTCTCCCCACATTTCCTAAGGTGCTGACAAGGAGAATTGTCTAACAATCAAGACCATCTTAAGTTGGTGATCACTTCCTTTATTCTCATGACCTTAATGTTTGATTCAGGGTTGACATTATAAGGAGAAATTAGATGCCAATCACTCTTTGGGGTTGAAGGGTTAAGACAAGCAAATCTTGCAGACACACATTGACTTCTGGCAAAAAAAAAAAAAATTCTTAGATATCTCAAGATTGAAAGAAACCAGTTTCAGATTTCTCCATGTGTGTATAGACCTTAGCCAGTGACCAGGATAACTGATTACAAAGTTTATCTAACTCCCGATTTTTTCAAAAATCTTTTAGCAAGTCATCATCAGCCTTTTTTGTTTTAAATCTCTCAAAGCAGCGTGGAGCAGGTGGACTCAGGAACAAGTTGAGGAATAAGGTTGATAGCCTTTATCAGTGAAGCAACAGTCACATGATTAAACATTAAAGAATGGAAGAGAGAGTTTGATTTTCTAGGTTTGAGATGGAGTTACCAATTGAGTACTAACCTTGGCCTTGTAAGGATAACTTTTTTCTGTATCAATGCCATCATTAGCCTTGATGTACTTGAATGCATTGTCCATTAAGCCTCCTTCGCATCCATGATTTCCAAATTTTCCGGAGCAGTCAACTAGGTTTTGTTCACTCAGAGACACCAGCTTTCCTGTTTTCTTGAAATGCTGGCCTTCAAGGGAACCAGTCTGAAATGGGAAAGGTTAAAAATTAAAATACCTTTAACACTTCAACTTCCATAAGTGATCAAGATAGAGTCTCTCTTTACAATATCAAGACAAAATCAAGAAGACAAGTAGTGAGAATCGAGAAAAACTCCAATCAGAGGATAATTAGTTGATCCAATACCAAATTATCTAAACTAACATTATATGAATTTTATGAGAGACAGTATGGAGAAGTACTAATAAGATCTTGGGAGTGAAAGACTTGTGGGGGAATGAGCCATCTTTTTGGGGAAGAGCCTTGCCACAAAGGTCATTAAAAGGAACATCTCCTAACCCTAAATTTTACAATACACAAATTAGGGTGACTTATTTTTAATAAGCACCTCATTTATCTTCACAGCATCACACAGTTGAAGAAAATATGAAGGTCACGAGAGAGTGACAAATGGTTTATACAAAATGCTTGTTTGAGCACTTAATTGATATTGTGGAGTGTGAATTTAGGGAACAGCTATGTGAGATTTGAAGCTTTTCCTTTCCCTTTGGTGCATGAAACACTTAAAGTACACTTGATGCATGAATTTTTCTAAAAAATTTGAGCGTGGAACCAACCCTCTCAGAAGAATGAAAGAAATGAAGACCAACTAGAGATGCGTTTGCTTTCAAAAGAAATTATCCAAAGGAAATGTACAGAGAACAGAACTAGAAAATAAGCATGCTAATGTTAGAGTGTAAAGGATTAAACTAATCAACAACCAATCATACAAAAACTGTACAAAACAAAACAAAATTTCTTACAGTGCTGAAAGCCCAGCAAGATCCACATTGCCCTTGATTCTTGACCTCAGTTACGTAACCTTTCTTCCTCCAATCAACAGTGTCTGGCAGCTCAATATTGCTTGGTGGCAGAAATGTAGTTGGACCTTCTTTGCTCTTGGTGTCCTTGAGAGCTTTGTTGTAGCCATTCAAAGTCAAATGAACTTCTTTACTTGTCTACATAGAAACATAACCAAAAGAGACACATGTTAACCCTTGAACTCCCATGAGTGACCAAGAGATAATTTCTCCTTACAATATCAATACAATATCAACCAAATAAGTAATGAGAATAAGGAAAAATATCAAGAGTGCAAAGGGTGAAAACTCAGCTTGCCCACAAAAAGATCACACAGCTTGATAACAAAAATGAGTAATTCATTCACAATCATATCTTAACCCTTTGACTCCCAAGATCTGATTTTCATTTCTCCTCTCTAGCCGCAAGAGATTTCCTATTACATTGGTTATGGGAATTCTGTGTTAGATCAAGATAAAAACTTCTACCTAATAGGTTTGAATATTCTCATTACCTGTTTGCTGGATAATACATGATATTATTGGGAGAAGGTACATGTTAATCACTTCTATCACTTCTTTAACATACTCAAGGTTCAAAAAATAATTTTTTTTTAAAATCAAAGCACAACAAAAATTTTTTAAAAAATAATTGTTGCAAACATTTTAATTTAGTGTATCATCTATTATCTTTAATAATTAACTTTCATATTTATATAAATTAAATTTGATGTACCATGTCTCCTAAATGATTCATTTGAAGAGTGAATTTGCTGTTTGGGTCAGCATTATGTTTCTTGATGGTCTTCATATTTTCGTTCCAAATGGTATAACGTAAACTTTCTTCATCATCTGATTCATATTTCTTGTTATGAAATTCTTTCCACGATTGCCAGGCATTGTCTTTGATCAAAAGTTCAGACAGTGCCATTGATATAAAAAGTGTTATCAACAGGACAATAGTTGAGTGGGCCATGATGAGTATGTTATTCCTGAAACAAACAGAAAATGAGATAAATTTTGAGATAATTAGCTATATGTAAGCTTGTGGCTGAAATTATGATTTAACCCTTTAAATCCCAAGTTCTGATTAATAATTCTCCTCTCTAGCTGCTTAACATTTCTTTGTAAATTATTTACAAGAATTTAGTGCAAGATCAAGATAACAAACTCTTCCTGATAAGTTTGAATATTCTCATTACTTGTTTACCAGATAATGTCTAATTCCCATTAGTTTCAAGTCATATTGATATAAAACCCAAAAACTTAGCTCTTAAACACCCTTACCATGAGAAATTAAAGCCAAGACTAACTTTTAATCCTAGATTAATGTTAAACCCCTTTCGAACAACCAGACCCAGGAGAGGACTGTGTGATTTGGCTTTCAGGTTTGTGGAGTCATAATTTGGAAAAAGCATATAAAAGTATAGGTTACAATAAGCGATTTCAATTAATCAAGCTATTATTTTCATTTTCTGGTGTCAAGCTGTGTTTTACTTAATGTTTTATCACAAAGAAACAATCAGCAAGAGATTTTTAGTTTCGAACAGCTTCAATAACCATTAGAAACAGAAAAATTTCAGTTTTCAAATGAGTAACACCACATATTGGATCAGTTTCTTTAAGTTTAAGTTTTTCAGATTTCCGTTGGTAAAATGATTTTCCCTCATCAAGTTTGTCTGATTTGTCTGTCGGCAAATGGTGAAACTTTCAGACTAAGAAAACCAAAAAGATTGTTGTTTCGCTTCGTTCTGCCCTATGAATTTATACTAATACACTGAACACCTCTGAACTAAAAAAGTTGACACGAATTAAATCAAACTGTTGAGCTCACAGTTAAAATACAGCATGTTTTAAACTTTCGTAAAGCGCTATCCTAGAAAACTTGCTCCACATAAAGTAAATTTAAATCCATTCCTAAATTACACGAACTCTCCAGAGTAAATCAAGTACAAAAGAGAAAGACTAGAAATAATTACTACTGTAAAGATAAGATGAAGCAGATTAAGAATCAGGCAAGCACCATCTACAATTAGTCAATACAAAACAAGGATTGGACGAATTCCACAAACAAAACACACTTGTCGCTGGCGCATGAAATAAATTTTCATCCATTCACAGCGGGGGCAAAGCAAGTGGAATGATCCCAATTCCGTTTATTTTCAGGTAGATGTATTCTGCTTTCTGGAGTAACCTACAATTAACTCATAAGTTCGAAATTGATCGTCGAATTATCTCAGGAAAAATTTAAGGGAAAGGAAATCATAAAAAGGCAAGTTAAATATATAGCATCTTAACGTTTGAGATTGATCGCTAAGTTCTTTTTTGAAGAACATCTAAAAAGAATTACATAACTTAAATAATTAACCATGCTATACTACAGAACATCTTGGTAAACAACTTAAGGGAATAATGAAGGTTTTTTTAGATCTAATCATTCTTACCAGAACTTGAAGTCTTCTCCTCTATGGAATGAATGGGTCTGTGAAAAAAGAAAATGAGTATCGGGTTTTGTTACAATATTGAGCAAAAGAAAGGAAAAAACTCGTGACTTAAGTGATCTCGTGACGCAGCGAATAACTTACCAATGACGCCCAAGGTTATTTGAAGAAAATCTGCGATCAGTTCTTCCTGTGTACCTGCAGACACCGCCAAAATTAAAAAATTACACTAGAAAATATGGAAGACAAAGGAAATCATACAACTTACCTTATTTAACAAAAGCAGCAGTTTGGGGGGGAAGTCAGAATGTTTAACCTTTGTTTATGTTGATACTAATACCGTTGCCGCTGATCTATGTGATGTATGTCATGTGACTGGTGTCGTTCACAGGTCTCCCAATCAAAGACTTTCACAGCTATCCCAATAAGGAACTCGTGTGTCCTTCAATCGAAAACCGAAAGGAACGAACGGTCAGTTTAATTTTCGGGTTTGTTTGCTTGCAATCGGTTTTAAAAAAGAGAATTTTGCCAAAGAAAAAACCCTCTAGAGCTTTGAGTGCCAGTACCTCATTACATTGGCTGTGACCACGGACTTCCTTGTGATGGTTTTAAGTTTGAAATTTTCTACCGCGCTCATGTATTAGTCACAAGCGCTTTAGGAAAACACTTGTGCCCAGGTTGACGATAATCAAACGAGAGTCATAAATAGCAACCAAGCAAAATGTTGAGAAATGATCAGTGGATCAAATTTTATTTGTTTATTTCTATCTTTGCCTGTTAAAATCTCAACCATATAAAATCTGTATCAACGCTTAACCCTTTAACTCCTGTGAGTGACCAAGACAGAATTTCTCCCTACAACATCCATGCAATTTCAGTCAGACAAGTGATGAGAATAAAGAGAAATATCAATTAGGGGATTATCAGTTGATCCAGCAACAAATTCTCAGAACTAAAATCATAAGAATGATACAGAAGTCTGTAAGGAGAATTACTGATGAGATCTTGGGAATGAAAGGGTTAAGCAATGAAATGATAATGCAATGAAATGCTTACAGCGAAGCTAAACCTCTAAATTGTATTGAAGAAGTGTTCAACATCTTTTATTTTTGCTACATAATCAGTACAGACAAAGCTGGTATACAAGGAAACTTCCTTTAACTTAAACATAAGATCATCAAAATGTTAACCCTTTACAGCCTTATATCAGTGTGTGTATTCTCCACACAGTTCTCTATTTATTTCTTTAAGTGCTGACAAAGAGAATGTGTTTAGCAATCAAGAGTTTCTCTAATTAGTGATCTGTGACTTGAATATTTGACTTAGGGGTGATATTGAGAGGAAAAATTAGATGCAAGTCAATCCTAAGGGAAAAAGGGGCAACAAATGCATAAATTTCAGAAAAAAAAGATTGTTTGTCTCTTATTTCCTAGTTGGAGGAAAGTTAAATAAGGAAAAAAGTTGAAAGACAAATCCAGTATGTAACTACCATAAGAAATAGAAACATTCCTTTCTCATTGAAATATATTAAATATCTCTTAAATAGTGCTTATCAGCTTGAATTGGAAATATTAGTCCCACTGACATATATAGCAGGTCGATACCAATCTTGTAGACTTCCAAAAATACAATTCATTTGGTCCAAGAGAAAATGTGCCAGAAATCTATTATCAAGATACCAGTCATAAAAAATATATATCAACAATAAGAGAAATTTTTTAAATTTGGTGAGAATTTTGCTCTGATTATCTTACAAATATGAAAACCAAATTAATTTACAGTAATTATAAAGCATTAAATTTCTTTTAATAGCCTAAATTTGCTGCATTTCCTATCACACCATCATCAGCAGCTCATCCTAAACCAAGGGGTAGCTTGCTGCGGTTGCAACTCCACATTTGTTGTTCTGGTTTCGAGCAATTTTGATGAAGCCCTCCTCTCCCCACGCTGTCCCCCAACTGAAAAATGATTTATAAAATAAATTAGCTTTCACTCTCCTGTTGTTTATCATCCTGACAAGTTCTCATAGCATTCATCAACTTTACCATAAGATGGAAAGTATAGTTCTACCAAGGGTCTGCTCCCACAAACATGCATACACCCTTCAATCCTGAATCCTGGTTGCCATACATAAGGCTTCCTCACTTCCATTGCACATTACAAAATCTCTTAACAAACCTGTTCTTAACCAGCCAGTAGTCCTGTCCATCCTCATTTCCATATCCCACCACAAGGACACCATGATCAAGTTCAGTGCTACTACAAGAAGGGTCATCATAAACCCCTGAGTGATAAAAATGAAACGAGCTATGGCTGGCATCAATTGCTACTGAGATGGGACCAACTGATGCTGAAGCAGCCTGTAGGGCAGATTCATCACCAGATGTGATATCCATATAACCAGTGTCTGTTGCACCAACATCAGAAACGTTAAAGTGACAAGTGCCGACCTACATGTAAAAGAGAGATTGTTGTCATGAGTGACAAAGACAGAATTTCTCCTTACAATATCAATACAATTCCTAGCAGACAAGTAATGAGAATAAAGAAAAATATCGACTGTGACTTATTAGTTGATCCCATACCAAATTCTCCAAACTGACATCATAAGAATTGTAAGGGGACAGTGGGGAGAAAAACTAATGAGATGTTGGGAGCTAAAGGTTTTTAAGCATCCAATTTACCCTTTGACTTACTGCTATTTTGACTACAAAACAGCTTGTAAGACAACTTGGTTCTGGCATTCATAGGAGAATTAAGAACAGTACCTGCATAAATTTTGGTGTCCAAATCAGATGTATGATGGGCAATGTGAAAATATGGAACATGAGATTCCACATGCATTTATTTTGAACAGTGTGAGTCATGAATTAGAGGGAAAAAGCTGACTGTGTCAAAGTCTAGGATATCTAAAAATGAAGTAACTTAACTGAATATGAATGAAACAGAAACTCTTTTACCTGTGCTTGATAAGGGTAGGAAGTTTCTGTGTCAACTCCATCATTGCTTTTGATGTACTTAAAAGCGTTGTCCATCAAACCACCATGACAACCATTGTTACCAAATGCTGATGAACAATCAACCAGATTCTGTTCACTGAGAGAGACAAGTTTTCCAGTCTTCCTAAAGTGCTGTCCTTCCAGAGCTCCAGTCTGGGGAAAGAAAGAAAAGATGATTAGATCTTCCTATATTTGCTTACAGTTTTTCAAAAGATTATTTTTATGAAGAGGAACTTTTAACGGAATACTATTGTTAGTACTAGTCGTCAAAAGGAACCAGCTGACAGAAGATTGATATCAACTTCTTTATATTTACTGACTATTCTATATAATAATTATCCACAGTGAAAATCAAAAGCAAATCTTCAAGTTAAATTTCTTTTAGCAGAAATTGTGGGAATAGAGATAATGTCTTAAAAATGTCTTAATCCCCTGAAAATCCTCTAAATTAGCTCTTGATAAGGAGCCTAGAGAGAGCTAAAAAGAGGATTTAAGAGCATTTGAATATTTTTTGGAAGAGCATGCTCCAAACTAACTATGATACTTGTACTTTTAGCACTTGACATGTTTCCTGGCACTTCATTACTGCAGCTGTCTCCTTTAAAACTTTCCACCAGCCCTCACACAATGCTGATAGAATTAAATAATTAACCCTTTACAACCTAACACATATTCTGTATACCGTTCTCTATCATTTTCTGAGGAGCTAATAGGAAGAATTCCATTTTGTTTATAACAATCAAGAGCTCTCTTACACTTAGTGAGTAATTTCAGATGTGATGATGTAAGAGGAAATAAGATGGTAGTCACTCTAAAGGGTCAAATACTTACTGTGCTGAATGCCCAGCAAGATCCACAATGCCCTTGGTTTTTAACAGGTGTAACATAACCCTCCTTTCTCCAGTCAACAGAGTCAGGAACCTTCAAATTTGATGGTGCCAGAAATGTGGGAGACTTTTCTTTAGAGCCTGTTGAACTCTTCCTCATCTTGAAACCATTCAACAATTCCTTTACTTCACGAGATGTCTAAAATATAAATAAAATATAAATGTAATTATGTTTTTTGAGACAACAGCTGACAAAAACTGAAATTTCAAGCCCAAACGTGCTATGTATGTATACATCACGACTGTGGGCTTCCAAAGGCAATCATGTTTGGCTAATCTTGATGCTTGAGGAATTTAAACTGTAAACAGCCATACAGACATATCAAGGTAACAAGGTAGCCTTTGTAACAATTTAATACAAGTCAGTTTTCAGGGAAAGATCAGATGAATCTGAAAAGAATGATCTGAAAAAATTTGCCATGAGAGAGGAACAACACATTCATATTAACACAATGGTACACTATAAAGCAAAAAAGTTCTAAGAATAAAAAAAATATCAAATAAGGGAGATTGATCAATCCCACACCAAATTCTCAAAACTAACACAATAAGAAAAATAAATGGTGGATGGGAAGGAAAACTGATGTTGAGATCCTGATCATGGATGGATTAACCCTTAACTACCAAGATTTGTTTGTTAATTCTCCCCTCTGGCAGCTACACTTTCCTTGTAAATTAGTTATGAGAACTTGGTGCCAGATCAAGATGACAGGTTCTACCTGATAAGTTTGAATATTCTCATTACCTGTTTGCTGAATAATATATGGATGTTATAGGGGGAAGTTTCACGTTAATCACTTCTGGGAGTTCAAGGGTTAAACTTACCAAGTCTCCAAGGTGATTCATAGCTAGTTTGTATTTGTGAGCCTGGTTGTGAGAGACAATCCTCTTCAAGTTATCTTGCCAGATGAAGTTGCGTATTCTCTCTTCATCAACATTTTCATACTCTTTATTGTGGAATGATTTCCACACCTTCCAGCTTGGATCTTCTAGTGCATCAAATTCTTGTTTGCCAGCTGGCCAGGCTAATGAAATTCCAAGAGAGATTGCTAATAGAACTAAACACTTCATGATGAATCTGCAGCAAGGGAAGAAAAGATCAAAGTTTAATTCATTCATTGCCATGATCAAATCACCAACTCTCCTTTCTGGTGCATGTTATCCTTATGAGCTTGTTGCGAGATTTAATATTTATGTCTGAGAATCAAGCTTTTCAGGAAGACATGACTAAGCATTTGATAATCACTCCTGCTGAGGGGCAAAGGGCAAAGGGTATCAACCATGAAGATCCACCAGACTCTATTAATGGCAAATAAATAAGGGGGTCAATTTTTAAAAATGCTGCGATGCTGTGTCGGCAGAGGGTATTGCAAGATAATATCACTTTATCAACTGAGTTGATACAGCAAATTGAGGACTGTAAAGAGCTTCTAAAGCTGATGTTCCCAGCATTAGCCTTTTATGAGAGTGAAAAGAAGAATTGTAGATTGTGTGTGATTTTTAAACAAAAAGGCTATCCAAAGGAACATGACATTTCTCTTTGCCTCCCTCCAGGTAAAATTATTCTCAGTGAGCTTGTCTTAAACACAAGTATGGGGAGGTTGAAGAGATTTACAACTAAGAAAATGATGTCACAGTCACAAGATCTCCTTAAATTCTCTTAAACAGTTTACCCTGGTTTCAACTATACAGTTCCTTGCAAATCATTTTGAAAAATTTTTTTTGTTTAATCAAGGAACTCACTTCAAGCTGATCAAGTTACCTATTCTCATCACCTGTTTAAAAGATATTGTATGGATATTTTGGGGAGAATTTGCAAGTTAATCATCTCAAGGAGATAAAAGTTCACTGAAAATCACTGACTCATCACCTCAGATGTTAGCCAGCAAACACATCATTAGCTTATGAGGTATTTTTGGCACATGGTCCTTCATTTTACTTGTCCGAGTTCAGCCAAGCAGCTTAAATCTATGATGTAGCACATCAGTACTGCAAATCTTTCTGTCCAATTTCTGTAGCACGTGATGTAATGCAAAGAGTGCAAGTACTTGAGAGGGTTTTCCGTTTGCGCCGTTTTTTAATAAAAAAATTAAACCAGAAATCAGTTATCTTGAAAGCATTTATAAATTAAGCGCGCCTGAAGGGAGCGATCGCGCATCATATATATATTTTTAAATTTAAGTTTTGCCATTGACTTATAATCATTGAATGACTGGATGTACTACTGCGTTGCGTGCTAATATTTCAGTGCGTAAAGGATTACTAACGTCGTCTATTTCAGTATCATGTCCTTGACGATCAAACTAAAATAGTTCAGGGGAAATCGCGAAAATTTGAAGCGAAAGTGAGCGGTTAAAAAAAATTGCCGGTACATAAGGGAAGGATAAGGCTTTTTCGACAACATTCTACAACTCTGTTGATTAATTGATTGATGCTCAAAGTGCTAAAAAACAGCTTACACTTCCTAAGATTGATTAAGAAACAATAAAGAAAGCCAATACTCACCTTCTGAACTACAGGAATATTTCCAAGCTGAAGAAATAACGGAGAACGTGCCCAAAATTCAGAACAGTTTCTTTATCGTGGTACACCACGCTAACACAGTGTTTTTATTCTGTTGGTTTCAGTCATGCTGTCATGCATATGATTGGATAATGAAATTTTCGCGTAATCTGATTGGTCAATTATGACTTGCATCAGACAACCCGCGAGTCACGAGACTCTCATAAGACTGTCACAAGATTCCCGCGCTTCATATTATAATTAGCAACACCTACGTAGTTTTCCCAGTAATCTACTTCCCGTTCGTCCTTTTTCTTTTACCCCGTGGGAATCTTGCAAATGATGCAATCGGCTGATAAAATGTATTTAAGACTCAAGCTATACCTTGTCTAAATAACAAAATAATTGATGTACAAGTAATTTTTAAAATCGTGAGTAAAAAGTAATTTAGAACTTACAGGTGTTTTTTCATTGCTCTCTTTCGCGCCTTGCATGGTGTAATAACATAGCGATCCACACGTTCAAGCGGTTACTGAACAGACATTTAATCTCTATCACGTGCCTTCCAACGGAGTCGGTTGATAGTTTTGTTGCCGAGTTGAGGAATCTGGCCAAAACATGTAATTTTTGCGATTTTTTGCGGGATAGTTTAATCCGTGATCGCATTGTGCTTGGAATTAAAAACGAGCAGACGACCAAGAAGTTACTGAGAATGAGAGATCTTACTCTGAATCGTTGCATCGACGTGTGTCGCAGCGAGGAAGTTGCTGAGTTGCAAATGAAGTCGTTATCTAGGCCGGTGGATAACATTAATCAAGTAAAGTCAAGTTCTAAAAAGCATCGAGCTCCAACGCCGGTGGACGGGCGGTCGGCAAAGAAAATTTCCTGCAAATTTTGCTATGACCATCAACCTGATAGGAAGATGTGCCCCGCATGGGGAAAGAAGTGCAAGCGATGCAAGGAAAAGAATCATTTTGCCAAGAAGTGTAAGAAAGTTCCTGTCCATAATATTGAGAGGGAAGAGGAGTTAGAGGAGATCAGCGTTGTACGAGTACAGGCTTTGAGAGGGAGAGCTGTGTATGCGAGGATGCTGGTTAGGCAGCAACCGATGCAATTTCAAGTTGATTGTGGTGCAAGTGCAAATATTTTACCTCTGAGGTATGCTGAGGGTGAGGAACTCGACTCGTGTTCGCAAATGCTTGTCATGTGGAATGGAACTAAACTGACGCCTGTCGGTTCCTGTGCGTTGCCTGTTGTGAATCCGAAAACTAATGAGAAGTGCAAGGTCCGGTTTCTAGTCGTGAAAGAGGATTTGACCCCTCTGCTTGGCTTAAATTCAACGCAGAAAATGAAGCTGTTAACTGTACACAAGGAAAACTTCATTAATGTCGTGGAGAATGTAAATGATGACCTCGCAGCTAATTACGCGGATGTCTTTAACAAAGGTCTCGGAACACTTCCAGGAAAAGTTCGCCTGCAAGTTGACCCAGATTGCAAGCCTGTTATCCTTCCAGCAAGAAAAGTCCCTGTGTCTGTTCGGGAGAAGTTCAAAGAAGAGCTCCAAAGGTTGGAACGTCTTAAAGTAATCACTCCTGTTGATGAACCGACCGAGTGGGTTAGTCAGATTGTTGTAGCTGTAAAGAAGTCCGGCGAACTGCGTGTTTGTATTGACCCGCGACCACTTAACACGGTCGAGTGAAACGTCTCCATCAAGAGTTACAAGGCCTCCCGGGTGTAAAGTGTATTGCAGATGATATTCTCATCCATGGCACGTGCGAGGCTGATCATGACAGCAATCTAGATGGATTCATGCGCAGATGTCAGCAGAAAGGTATCAAGCTCAATGCCGAGAAGTTAGAGTACAAGTGTAAAGAGGTTCCATTTCATGGGCACCTGCTAACCACAGAGGGTCTAAAGTCAGATCCAGAGAAAGTGAGAGCAATCGTCGAGATGCCACGCCCAAAGGACCGAGGTGATATTTTACGCCTGAATGGAATGGTCAATTATCTTAGCCGTTTTCTACCCCACTTATCTGATGTGATGAAGCCTCTACGAGATCTTACCCATAAAGATGCAGCATGGTGTTGGGATGATTTGCAAGAGAAGGTTTGGAATGATGTCAAGACATTGATTGCATCAGCACCCGTTCTAGCCTACTACAATATACAAGCCCACTGAAGTGCCTGAGATCCAGTGTGATAGCAGCCAGAGTGGTTTAGGGGCAGCTTTAATGCAGAATGGTCATCCAATTGCGTACGCTAGTAGAGCCTTAACAGAGACGGAATCTCGCTATGCGCAGATTGAAAAGGAGATGTTGGCAATCGTGTTTTCAGTAGAGAAGTTCAATGACTTTACCTTCGGTAGAAGAACTGTTGTCCATACTGACCATAAGCCACTTGAGTCAATTTTCATGAAACCACTTCATCGCGCTCCTAAGAGGTTGCAAGGAATGTTGATCCGTTTGCAAAAGTACGATTTGGTGGTACAGTACGAGAGGGGAAGCAGAATGTTCTTAGCGGACACTCTCTCTAGAGCTTTTCTTCCCTCAGGTGCGCAGATTGAGTCAGAGTTTGAGACAATCAACATGATGAATTACTTGCCAATATCTGAAGCCAGGCTACTGCAAATTCAGCGGGAGACAGAGCAGGATGAATCGCTTCAAGTTCTGAAGGCAGTGATTCAGCATGGCTGGCCTGAAAATAAGAGTACCCTGCCGCTTCTAGCCTCTCCTTACTTCGATATGAGAGATGAGCTGTCCGTTCAGGATGGTCTGATTTTTAAGGGAGAAAGGGTAGTGGTACCCAAGGCTGCTAGGAGTGGTCTCCTAAAAATGATTCACAATTCGCACTTTGGAGTTAATGGTTGCCTTAACAGAGCGCGTGAGTGTCTTTATTGGCCTGGGATGACAGGAGATATCAAGAACTATGTGTCAACATGTGAAGCCTGCAGAGAGTACGAACAGGGTCAAAGGAAGGAAACACTCATCAGCCACGAAGCACCTAGTCGGCCGTGGCAGTTCGTTGCAGCAGACCTATTTGAGTTAAATGGAAAAAGTTACCTTGTGACTGTGGACTATTTTAGCGATTTCTTCGAGCTCGACCATCTGAGAAGTACATCCTCTGTCTACGTCATCAAGAAGCTTAAAGGTCATTTCGCGAGACATGGCATTCCTGAGCAACTCGTTACTGATAACGGGCCACAGTTCGTCTCGCGCGATTTCCTGAAATTCTCTAAAGAGTGGGATTTTGAGCACAGAACCAGCAGTCCGTATCATAGTCAGTCGAATGGAAAGGCTGAGAGCGCCGTTAAGCAAGCGAAGAAAATTCTGTTAAAGTGCGGCAAGACTGGTTCAGACGCGTTTCTCGCTTTACTAGACCACAGAAACACACCGCCTGCGAGTATGCAAATCAGCCCAGCACAGCGGCTATTTAGCAGAAGGACAAGAAGTCTGCTCCCGATGACTGCTGCATTATTAAAGCCATCCGTTTCAGACGAGAACGTGACACATACCGAGCTTCATCGCCGCCAGCAGCAACAAGCCAAGTACTACAACAGAGGCGCACGAGACCTCCAGCCCTTAGAGCCCGGAGATACTGTGCGAGTTGAGCCCTGGCGCGCGGGAAGAAAAGAGTGGCAAAAGGGTGTCGTAAAGAGTCGCATTGACAAAAGATCTTACGAGGTTGAGTTGCCTCAAGGACTCCTTCGACGAAATCGTGTTGAGCTACGCAAGTCTCATGAAGCGCCTATCAAAGTTGAAGATGACGACGTCATAGAGGCGCGCAAGCAGTCATCCACAGAGACACGCGAAGATACACGCGAACAGGCACCTCCAGATACACGCGTGGAAACATTCGACCAGCCGTGCGATCCTTTGTCTTCGGTGCCAGATGCAGTCGCCCAGTCCTTTACAGGCACCGAGAAGGTCCACGCGCGTCCGTCAGCCGCCCAAGCGTCTACAGGACTATGTGCTTACTTAAGCCTAGGAACTCTTTCCAAGGAACTGAATTTCATTAATATGTGCTTAGTCGTTTGTTTGTTTGTTTTTTTTTTTTCCGTTAAGTTGTTTTCTTATTTCTCTATAAAAGGGAGGGTGTTATAATATTGTAATTTTCACGCCCTGTGTTGAATTTCATTTGCACGTGCTGCTAGACTTATTATTATATATTCAGTTTCGTTTGTACCTTGAAGGCACTTGATAGAGATTAAATGTCTGTTCAGTAACCGCTTGAACGTATGGATCGCTGTGTTATTACACATGGCTAAGCTGAGTCGAAGTTCGTTAGTCGAAATAAGAATGAAAATCAACAACAACAGCCACAGAATTCGTCGAGGAACAAAGGTGACAGTTTCAAGAGTAATGCGTGACGGGTAACGCAATTGATCCGACATCCGCGCGCTCTTTTTTTAAGTTATGGAGAAAGTATAAATATAAAAGACTGATTTAACACACTCATCGAAAAAAAAGGTGCCCTAAGCATTGTATTGTGAGAGTGAAACACTAACTATATTTTTATGTTTTTAAACTAAATTTTCTATGGTGGAATTTGGTCAATATCGAGTCACGCCTCGTCGTTATGTCCCTGAAAGTTATATTTTAATTATCATTTGATTAATATGCCTTTGATGCGAACAATCAGCATAGATTCTCTTTTTAATACCTTCTTTTCTTTCATACGTGCCTTTTTGTTAGCAGACAAAACGAGTTTCCGGTATTTTTGTTATGATTTTGTAGTGGAATGTTATTGATCTTTCTTGATAACTGATTAATATTTATTAATTTGCTACCCACGGACTCGGAAACCAGATGCTATAAAAACACGACCATGGTGTACTGAGTTGGGACACATTTGCTCGTGTTTGTTTCATGTTAACAAATCTATCCATCGATTACTCAGCTGTGGTTTGAATGGGATGAACAAAGCTGTAAACACAGCTCTTGAAGGCTTCATCTGCCCTGCATGTTTGGTCGACTTTCCGAGTGCATCGAAGCTTCAAGACCACTGGTTGAAGTTTCATTCGCCCAAAGTCACCGCCAGCGGAACTGATCGCGTTTCTGATGATTACGAATCTATACCAGATGATTCTTCACCGGATTGTGCTCCTCAGGTGTGAATTGTTTTTGTTTAGACAAT